TCACCCGATTTCACACGCGTTGCCCCCTTGATATAATTTCGCGCCTTACGTTCACCAAGTTTGTCCCGGGGGTTTTTGGCCGAAATGGCTGCCCCAGTATTCCTCAGGAGATTGCCGATGAGCATCAGCGCGTTCATGGAGAAGCACTACCGCCATTTCAATGCACGCGAGATGCTGGATGCGGCCAAGACGTATAAGTCTATGGTCGAAGGTGGCGGCAAGATGTTCATGTCGATCGCCGGCGCGATGAGTACCGCTGAATTAGGCATCTCGCTGGCCGAGATGATCCGCCAAGACAAAGTCCACGCTATCAGCTGTACTGCGGCTAACTTCGAAGAAGACTTCTTCAATCTCGTTGCTCACGACGAATACGAATTGTGCCCGAACTACCGCGATCTTTCACCGGAAGAAGAATTGAAACTTCGCGACGGTGGATTCAATCGCGTGACGGACACTTGTATTCCGGAAACGGTCATCCGTCACTTCGAGCACAACTTGCTGGAATACTGGAAAGAAGCTGACGAGAAAGGGGAACAACATTTCCCTGTCGATTACTTCTTCCGCTTGCTGAAAGATGGCAAGCTACAAGAGCACTACCAGATCCCCCCAGAAAACAGCTGGGTGCTCGCCGCTTATGAAAAAGGCATTCCCGTCTTCACCCCTGGCTGGGAAGATTCGACGCTGGGCAATATCTTTGCCGCTCGTGTTTACGATGGCACGCTGTCGACCCACAACGTCATTCACCCTGGCACTCGCATGATGCAGGATTTGGTGAAGTGGTACTTGGAGCATGAAAAGAAAGGAATCGGCTTCTACCAAATCGGTGGTGGTATCGCCGGCGACTTTGCCATCTGTGCGGTGCCGCTGATCCTGCAAGACCTGGAAATGCGGGACTCGAACTTGTGGAGCTACTTCTGCCAGATCTCCGACTCGACGACTTCGTTCGGATCGTACAGCGGTGCGGTACCGAACGAAAAGATTACCTGGTACAAGCTCGGTAAAGATAGCCCGAAGTTCATGATCAACTCCGACGCGTCGATCGTTGCCCCGCTGATGTTCTCGTACATCCTCGGCCAGTAAGATCTCGCTACGTCTCAAACTAGAAAGAGGCTGCCAGCATTTCGCAGGCAGCCTCTTTTTTTTGGGTGAACGAGCTTGCTGCGACTCAGCTCCAAGGTCCCTGCAGCTTTCCGCCACGCATGGACTGAAGCCCACGCACTTGAACACGATCCTGATTCTTGAACGAAATGACGGGGCTTAATCCCAGATCCATCAGCTTGGCGAACTCTTCGTCCGTCAACAGGTGCTCGCCACAAGGGTAGGCATCGCCATCGTCGGCCGGATCGTAATAGAGCGGCAAGTCGCCGAACTGGGATACCGCAGATGTATCGAGCCCCCAGCCTGAGTCGTTATATCCTTGGGCGATTGCGGCACATGCCAGCCACACAGGACTTCCCCATGCCAATTGGCTTCCGCCTGGCTGCGAGACCTCTTCAAACGAGAAACGGTCGGTTGATTTATACTTCTTTCCATACGGCAACCGCAATTGAACGCGTGGCCAAAGCCCTGCCATGTTCAACATCGGTCGCGTCATGCGATTGGCCTGCCAAAAGTCATGGACCGCGTCGTCCATTTCGAGCCAGTCTGGCTTGGTGGCTCGAAGCTCGACTGCGGCAGCAGCCCCAGCGGTTTGACATAGATCTCCCAGTTTCGCGGCTAGGATTAAGTCGTCCTGATTCACGCCCAATGGAAACAAACAGCCAACCATTCCCCAAGGAATTGCTCCTGGCGTTTTGGATGGCTTCGTAATCGTCTCGGCCAACCAGCCGCTCTGCCAATCGTCCGATTCGAGTGCTTCTCGAAATCTTTGAGCTGAGATGTCCAGCACGTAGAACTTAAGCTTCGCGTGCGTCTCGACCTGAAAAGTTAGCCACCGCAGTCCACGCCAGTTCATTTCCAACGAACGAAACTTAGGGCTACGCAGGACCAACCGCATCGATTCTTCAATCGCCTGATCCACGAGGGCAACCAAATCATCCTGGCGTGGATCGACTTTCTGGATGTTGCTCCCGGCAAGCACCTCTTGTATGAACGCCTCCCAATTGCCTGTTTCCAATGGCGAACCGCTGGCGTCGTGCGATTGAGAAAGTACGTCTGCGAAAAGATCTTCCGACCCTGGTGCCGCTGCCGAAACACCGGACGCTTCGGTCGCCTCTGCTGCGGAAGAAACTTCGGACGATCGGGCCCAGCTCATCACTTCAGCTGCGGCCGAATCAAAGTGCTTGGGGTTCAAAAGCCGACGTCGCAGTGTTCGCAAGTTTTCAAACAGCGATAACTTCTCGAATAGTTCGTCCGGCTCGAAATCTTCGAACTCGTGGAATTCGATCTGCTCGGTCTGGCCATCAGCCGAAGCGAGAATTCCATTCAAGCAAACGCCTAATTGCTCTGGCAATTCATACAGATTGTCGCGATCGACGCTCACGGGCTTCGCTGCATCATCATGCACACTGCCTCGGAAATTACCGATTAACAAAATGTGCAGCGGCGTCTTTTCGTTTACCTCTGGCGCATGACTGCGCGAACCCCCGACTTGAATCTCCGCCATGATGTCCCCCGAGGCTGTCTTCCTAAATTGGTATCGAGATGTTCGTCTATTGCGATTGTTCGACGACGCGATTCATGCCTAGCTTTTTAAGCGATTCCGTCCAAGGCTTCTTCGTGAACAGTTGCCAACTATCAGGCATGTCGGCAACTTCGGTGAGGACGCCTTGCACGGAGTCACCCAGCAGCTCATCGATAATTTCCTGGTCTCGCTGCGAAAGAAAAGTCGTCAGCAAGTTCGGCGAAAAGATGGCAAAGAATTGTGGCCCAGGCCCTGGTGCCGGCAGGTCTCCCCGCGTCGGAGCAAACAGCCCTTCCCGGAAATGCTCGACGACTGCTTTCGGGTCACCGTGGGTGAACAAGCAGCTGATGGCATCCATTCCCCACAACTCTTCAATGATCTCGCGGAACGGCTCCAAGTCTTCTGGGCAGTAAAGCATCGGTCCACCGAGCGCGGCGAACTTCTCGTCCAGATCACCCCGCA